TCTGATAACATCAGTTTGTCTGCAAAATACATATAGCCAGTGGTGTAAACAAATTACAAATACTCAAATTACTGTAATTGAGTAGTTTTTCTCAAAAATTGTACTTTACTTTTACTTAACCTAGAGTACATTTTTAGTGAAGTATTGGTACATTTACTCCACTACTTTCCCTCAACCTGCAGTCTCTACTTTTGTTTTTTCTTGTCTATGGGTTTTAGAAAAATCAGCCCTTTGATTCTTTTCCAATCAAATCGCACATGCTGTATAGAAGTAAATCACGCTATAATGACCTACCTCAAGACATGGGCGGTTTAAAATTAATAGGTACCCAGCAGGTGACGTTGTGTGCCTGCTGGGCAATCACTAAATATACTATAGAATGTTATGTTTACACACATCCACAAGTTACATGTAAATGTTTACAGCGTAATATCACTTCTCTTGAGTTTTGAAAGGTACCTTGAGTAATATTTACAACAGATACTTTTGCTCTACTTGCACTACATTTTTATGCAAGTAATGATACTTTTACTTAAGATCAGTACCTTTTCCACCACTGCATATAGCTATATATTCACGCCCTTCCATCCATTAGTTTGCTGCGAATGAATGATGAAAGGAGCACAAAAAAACCCACCCCCTACTCAATATTCTGTTTTAGCAGGAAATACTTCATCATACTGAAATAAAAGTCTTCTGCAGCAACTTCCGGTTTACGCAGACTTTAAGAGAGGGAATAGGGAAAATAGCTGAAGGGTTGTGATTTTATTTAACTAACACAAGTAAAATAGGAAAGAACAAAAATACCTGAAGGGAGAGCAAGGCTCAGCCAGTCAGTGTGCAAAGATATACGCAAGGCGGAGAAAATATGTTTTTCATCAGTGGCTGGTGCCTCCACGAAGACAAGATGATCTCTTGTAACATTACCTAATAACAACTACGGTCCAACATAAGCCAGATTACATAAGACATTAACAACACAGAAGAAGGCAAACTCATAAATAGATTTGCACGGTCCCTCGTATTACAGAAGCTCTGGGTTTAGTTCATATTTTGATTATATTACTGGCCGAGGGCTCAATATACTGTAAGTAGCTCTATATAAGTCAGGTTTAACAGCAAATCCACTGATTCTGTGGATCCCTCTTTCTATCGAGTGCATGTATTTGCTCTGTGCTTGAACTTTATTGCTTCTGACAGCCTCACTGGTTTGATTTATGCCGTGTATTCCAGTGACAGCTCGTTTATCAGTAACAGAGCCGAAGAGCTAAATAATAAAAACTAAACATGCCCAACTATTATACAAGCAATTTGAGTCTTTTGCTTTCAGAACAATTGCCCCTCAGCCTGTATTTAGACATAAGGTCATCACTAATGCAAAGGAATTTGTTATAAGATGAGGGGGTGAGTGAGTCTAGGCATGTGTTTCCCGTCGGGAATGTCTGTGACTTTGCTTTGCTGATTTCAGCAATGGTTTTGGACTTGGGGCAACACATTTATTGAAGAATAATTTGAGGAATTCTTTTCTGGACAAAAAAAATCTTAATAACTGTGAGTTGTTCTTCTCAGTTAACCCTTTCAATCGAGTCTCATTAGGTCTGAAACGTTACATTAAACAGATTTAGATTTTGAAGACAAAAATGTAAAAAAAAAAGGGTGGCGCAGTGGGTAGCACGATCGCCTTACAGCAAGAAGGTTGCTGGTTCGAGCCTTGGCTGGGTCAGTTGGCATTTCTGTGCGAAGTTTACGTATTCTCCCCACAAGTCTAAAGATGTGTGGTATAGGTAAATTGGGTAGGCTAAATTGTAAAACATATGCTGGATAAGTTGGCGGTTCATTCTGCTGTGGCGACCCCAGATCAATAAAACAGCTAAGCCAAAAACAAAATGAATAAATGTAGAAAACTGTCTGAGTTATAATTACTGTTTTTGAGCTTGTTGTAGCTGCAAAAGATCAAGACATGTTTTAATGCTGCATTTACAACTGGACTCCTATTTGACGATGGTACTAAATAAGACGTCAGACATCCTACTGTACTTTTAAACTCGAGGGAGACTGCTAAATGCATCACTTACTGTCATTTCATAAATGAGAGCAGGTGGGTTGTGTAACTTTTGTCTTTTTTTGCTGCATAAATAACAATTGACACTGCCTACTGGTATGACAGCATGTATGCTTCTGTCATATATAATTTTACCATATTTGGCAGATTGCAAAATGTGGAATTTTATCATTTTGTTGTAGCGTGATTGACTGTAATGAGGTTTGAAGTAGACATTCAACTACAATTCAACTCAAGATAGTCCAACACAAGCATTTTTAGCCATTTTCTGGTACTTTGTGGGAAATTGTACACCCCAAAAAATGATTGCTGCTTTTTCAAACTACCTGGGTAAAATGAGCTGAAACAGCACAGTTTTTATAATTTCTTTGGCCAATTTATTTGTTTTACATTCGGTCCACTTAAATTTATAAACCATTAAGTTAACTTAAACGTTTTGTGCTGGGACAACATGAAAGAATTGTGTTGGTCCAACTACAACTACATGGTTAGGGAGTTTGTAGTCCCCAGCATGCTTAGCGTGGAATTAAATTAAGAGAGGGAAATGTTGACAATAAAAGTAATCTTAGGTGTTTAGAGTCAATAAAAAAACTTGTTAGAGTTTAATCTTCGCTTTAGATTGAAGATTTAGAAGAGTTTCATGTAATGCTTTGAGTTTTGAGATTACAGAAGCACCAATGCTTTGGAGATAAGCAGCTTAATTAGTAAAATTGCAGTTTGTTGCTTTAACTGTCTCAGTCAACTGTGTGTAACTCGTGAATATGCTTAAATGGCTCTTTTAGTTCATTTAGTTTAATAGGAAACTAAAAGACTTTAAAATGTACGAGACATAATAGACATACATGACATTGTTAGACATTTAAGTTTAAGTTAAATAACAATACAAATGTATTTAAACTTTTATTTGATAAAACCATGTTGGACCAACACAATTGCATTTTTTTTGCGTTAATAGTGTTTATTTAGTTGGTGCTAAAAAAATGTTCTTGATGAAAATCCTGCCCTCAATTAAATTGAGTTCAATGAGTTGTTTTTTGAGTGTAGATTTTTGATTGCATGTTGACAAGAAAGTGCTGGCACATTACCATTTTGTATACTTTGTGTATGTGTTGTGCACATGATGTCAGTTTTGTGCATATATTACATACATAACCTGAATTTTTTAAGCTCACACATGAGCTTCGAATTATGTTTGTACAACTTGATTTGTTCTTCTGTTCAACAATGCTGGAAACTGGTAGCCAACCGTTAGATCCCAGTTTAGAAAAATACTGTTAAATACATGATTAAATACATAGTTCAAAATACATTTTGTATTCAACATAAGAAAGAAACTTGGATTAAGTTGGAAGGTGAGTAAATGTTTCTTTTCTTTCTTTCTTTCTTTCTTTCTTTTAGTTAAAACATAATATAGTGTTGCACATTCTGTTATATAATAGAAGCTTTTCAAGGTGCATTTTTGGAGTTGCGCAATTTCAGCCATAAGAATGTTACCACATAACTCTCTCATATGGTGTTTCTGGCCTTCATGAATCAAACCACTGAACAACACATCAGTCACAGATCTGATGGCACGAGCACTGGAACTGTAATCACTCTCCGAAAATCGCACACCGAGGAGACTTTCTGGTCTGCAACATCAATTACAGCATGTGTTTTGGCTTTGCCCCTTCAAAGTGTTACTGGAATTGTTGCACGTGTGTATGGAGATGACTTATTTCCTGTGATGTGTTTTCTGTTTTTTACCAAACAATGCCAGTGTCCCATGGAAATCATTAACGAGTCTGCGTTTGCTTGACTACTAGAAATCTTGTAAATCAATTCTGGCGACCGACATTTTGATCCAATTCTTTCATTGCGTTTGAGGGACAAGTTGGGAAAAGAAAACAGTATCTTTGTGATGACTCAGCTGCTAGGTTTAGTCTTGAGTTAGGCCTAAATGTATCGTCGTTTGTTTGAGCAAAACAAACTTTTAAAAACATGCTTGTGTCAAATATTGATGATATTTTTCCCAACTGAAAATGAAATCAAACTTTAAGAAAAAAAAAAAGAGAATTGGTGAAAATAACACAATGTTTCCAAGTTTATAGGGCCTATTCATTTTTAGAAATTACATTTATACCTTAAAACGTTGAGAGCACTATTGCGTAGAAAAACCATCATTTTTAATAACGACAAATAAAATTATTTTATTTTTGAATTGTCATTGTCTGATATAATGACATTAAATGAAAATAGATTTATTTGAAATTTTGAATAAATGTTATCAGACTAATAGAATTAAGTAAATAATACATTTTTACTCAATAACATACCTAGTACTCCAGTTTATCCAGTGATACTTCAACGTCTCAAGTGGTGTCTTTATGTAATTCTATAGCTGTTCATCGTTCCCGATAGATCGTCCCGTGTTCCACTTTGAGAAATCTCTTCATACTGTTTAAATATGTATTTCTATATGCACTTTTTAAAATAATTTATAACCCTATGCCTAAATAATTATTTACACGATTTCAATAGTTACATTTTACAATAAATTGTTTTGCTCTGCATTAAGCCAAATATAGTTGATATAAAACGAGGGTTAAAATCAAAACAGATGTATAAAACTGTGTATGCCTCCCTCTGCAGGACATTTAACAGTAGTGACTTTCCAAAGTTTCTTTGTCGGGTAGGCCTAATTACAAATCATAGGAAAATGTAAGGTAAGGGATTACTTTTTATTTTAAAGTAATTTAATTAGTCACTTATAATGTACTTGCAATAAATACTGTAGTCATTTAATAAAATTTTAATGATGCAATAGTTAATTATTTACTTTTTTGAAGTAACTTACCAATGCGACAAACATGTAAGTATTACATTAAATATGTAATTAGTTCGATTAGTAGTGTATGTACTGGTTCATAAAAATATGAAATCAATCAAAGACACACCATTCAAAGAGTTTGGTTTAGTTTTATTAAAAGCCAAGCAAACATTAAAATACTGAAACAACTTTTTTCAACCCTTTTTTGCTCCATTTTGTACAAATCACAGTTATTCAAAAATATTACAAACAATTCAATAAAATGTTTTTTTTTTCTTTTTTCCTGTTTAATATTTGTATTTTTTTTTTTTTTGCAACAGCAGCAAAAACATTCTGATTTTGTTTTTTTAAAGCCCTTAATAGTGGTGTGTGTGTGTCTCTGTGTGTGTGCTTTAAGGTTTATAACAAGAACAAGAATTACAGAACAAGAATCAGAAACATTTCAGTTAAAGACGAGAACAAGCATTAATCAAACCAAGTTAAAAAGAAAACCACAAAGTGCAAATCAGCTTTAAATATAGTCACAGATTTGAAAAAGGAAGAGAGGTGAAGGAAAGAGTCAGAGACGCTTTCCTTACCTCTAGAAGACAAAACCGTGACAAGGACCACTTGGACAGTTCACCTCACCACGAGTGGACAGAGGAAAACTCGAGTGCTCCACTACTGCCGGATGCAGTAACACGGCCCTTATCTTTCATGGAGATGAAGGTGGACTTCAAAGCACAGAAAGGAAGCTGGTTGGAGAGCCTCTGTTAGACAGAGAAACTAACAAGGGCTTGAAGTGGTCTCTGCCTATGACCTGAGGTCAGATTGTACATTTTACAAAGCAGTAAGAGGTGGTTAACCTTTCCAGTTTAATACAAACATTGAGAGAGTATTTAGTTGAGAACAAAAAGGCAATCACCACAATAACTGCTCTGTGTATTAGTATTTTACAAAAATTCACCAAAGTCAAATTTTCAAAAAGCACGTTGTGTAACATAATCCTTTCCACCCAACACCAACTCATAGCCTTTCAAATAATATTAACAATGAAAGAAGTAGTAGTAATAATAATAATAATGTTAAATAAATTAAACCGTGAAGTTCAGCTGACTCTAGAGGGCGCAAGAGACTTAGTTAATCTGCTCGTGTGTACATTCACTCTCATTCAAACCAGTACAATCATGGCTCACAATCAGAGAGGGATGAAACACACCACTCAAAGTACAGATGCTATTGCTACATGCTGGCCACAGACATGCAGAAGGAGCAATACAGTGGTCTGCTGGATGTCAGCTAATGTGAGAGAGAGAGTACTACAATTACCTCAACTAAAAACTAAAGGCAGTGACCTCTCAGATGAAAAATGACTCTTTTTTTTTTCCAATTAAAGGCACAGTAACACAAACTAAACCCCACTTATCAAGTGCTCTCACGTTTCTTGTACATACAAGTGGTTTGCTATGCTTATGAAATACATGATAAACATTTAGTCTAAACTAAATGACTGTTGATTTTGTAATGAGGGCTTGGATTGTTTTTTTTCTTTTTTTTTTCATTTACAAGACAAAAGTGCATGGTAACTCTTAAGTAATGAAAGCTACTGTCTTTTTAATAAATACAAAGAAGTTAGTGCTCAGAGCATTCCCATGCACCCATCTTAGCTGTAAACGTGCACTGATAAATACTTTCGTTGCTCAAGACTGTATTGTTAAATTGAAAGAAAAAAATGAACATTGTTTATATCAAATTTTAAGCTAAAGTGCATATTTAGAAAGCATTTACACTACAGCTGTATATGCATAGATGCCACAAGTCATTATGCCAACAGTTCAAGTTTTCAAACTAGCATTCTGTTGTGCCAGGTGAGCAAAATAAGTACATTTCCTGCTCACTAAAGTCTTCTTTTTCCATTGTGTAATTAATAACGAAATATATATTACGTGACCTCACATTGTTTCTATATCACTTCACCAGTGTGTTTGGTTGTAAGATGTAGGTTGGACAAAGTTGGCACAGATTATTTCTATTTTAAAAAGTCATGCAGTGTAAAACCCCCTGTCGCCGATCCATCCTACAGTGTTAATACAGCACAGACAGGACGCTACCCCAAATAGTCATGCAGTCTGAACTCAGCATTAGATAACGCTTTTGTCTTGTATTCAATTAGTTTAGCAAAATCATCTGCTATTGCAGACAGAAAAATTCACAACAGTCACCTTGCTCTCGAGTGTTCACAACAATATAGACAGCTGCTAATGAGGCATCTATGCATATACATCTATGGGTTTACTGTTAGCAGGGATCTTTTGTGTGGTTAGCCACATCAGATTGCCTAAGCCAGTCTCTCTTTTTAAAGAGACAGTTCACCCAAAGTTTATCCTTCTGCCATCATTTATTAAATGTCAGAATCTGAATTAGGGTGATTACTTTTAGGCCAAATGGATCTTTCTAATACTGTTTATAGAAGATCAACAAAACCCCCTCATTACTACAACAGAAAACCATCAAAGTCAAAGTTGAAGGCATTTTGATTAAAGCACAAGGTTTAAAGAACTTGAGCCAATGAAAAAAATCTAATAGTAATTACGAGAGATTTTTCTTTTGTGTGTGTGTTTATGCAGAAAACATGTAGGGTCATAAGAAGCACTAGATTAATGGAAGAAACCATTCCATGCTACAAAATATCTTGAAAAGCCATCATTTCAATACAGTCAATGCCATGCACACCAAAAGGCAGACTAATTCTAAAAACAAAAGTGCAAAAGCAAAAAGTCAAAGAACGAAAAGTGCCAACAAGCCCAAAAATCACCACGGCAACAACGCTTTCCATCCCAGCAAGCTTGCTGATGTTTGTAGTGTCTCAAATTGCTCTTATAGTGTGATCTTTACCTTACGGGGCAGACAGGAGAGCTGGTATTACGTACATAATTCGTCGCAGAGCCAGTCTGCGTATGCACAGTAAGGTCATACATTCATTATTTTACTAATTATTAAGCCTTTAGGCATAGTGTGGCATCTATAAACATTCACCGTAATTGTCTGCCCCTAGAAATACTGCACAAGTGATGTTACTAAAAAGCGCTCTAATGAGATGAACCTATAAAAGTCTTCACTGTTTTCCCTCTTCCTTGCTATTTTCTTTATTTTTGTGTGTGTGTGTCTCAACACATGGGTTCTGCATGTCTATTTTTATAGCTGTTGATGATTTCTGCTCGTCTGGTGCGAAAAGCAGGGTGCAGCCTTGAGGAAGCAAAACCAGAAAGCCAGAAATAGAAAAAGGGTGGCAAGGAAAACTTAACATGTCTCTGATTTCTCATTCACCTTCAAAACAGCTATTAATAACACTTTTGTTAAAAGGCACGAAACAGGCAAAACAAACATGCTTCACCGAGAAATATTTGAATGTTGAAGGGAAAGTGTAACATGGTCATAGGCACTCATGTTTTTTTTGTTTGTTTTTTTAGATGGAAGGCAGTCGACACTGACTTTAGCAAACGGGTGCTATCAACGCTTCACAGCACATGCACGTCTGAAAAAAGGAAACAAACCTAGAGGAACATGACTGTCAGTTTAACCGCAAAACCTGTTTCTACAAAGCTTAAAGCTTGAAACTGAAACAATCACAAAAGTAAGATAATATTGATTTACAGCTTAAGTCAGGATATTTTGTTAGGATTGTCAAAACAGGTAAACCTGTGTAAAGGGGCGACCACACTGCACTTTTCTGTCCATTCACTTTCATTCATAAGCATGCAAATGCTGGAGAAGCATAAGCTCATGCGTTTAGGTCACGTGAAGGTTTTTAAACAATATTGTAAGAACATCTGTAGCATTGTAGTAAAGTGAAGTACATCTAATATATCCAATATTGGCCTAATTATTATTTCTTAAAGTCTGTTTGAACTGGCAGTTGCTAAGATCTTTGTTTCACTATGTTGATGTACTTTCAACTAAAACTGAATATTGAGTAGGAAGCGGGACTTTCTTTTTGTGCATCATTCACTTTTAGCAAACTAATGGTATGAGGTGTGTGGTAATAAATAATGTTGTTAAAGTGTCAAACTGACAACCACAGCAGACCTGTAGCCAGCCTGGTGAAATGGTTCTTTTTTTCTGAAAAGTGAACCTTTTTGCAATTAGACACCTCTATTGAATTATGAAATTTAAATGCTGCATTTTTGTGACATTTCAAGCACTATTCTGAATTAGCTTGTCGATGGTAACCACACTTTTTGACTACTTTAGCCAAAATAGTATTCAAATAAATTTTAATATGGTCCATTTTGGGGCTTCACACCTTTTTATTGGTCATTTTTCTTCAAGAATAAGGTCCAAGATTCAGAATAAAAGTTACTTGTAAAATGTTTTCTCTGATTAAAAACAATACAGTAGCAAAGGAAGACATCTCTTATATGTGATTGTATGTTTTCTTGCACAGATGGATGTTGGACTTATAAAATAATTGGAAAAATAATTGTTAGCATTGTCAAAACTGATTAGCTAACAGAGGATTCTGCTTGGTCTTAGAGCATTTTTCAAAATGTTATGTTCACCATGATGGCATAGCAGTCAAAATAGGACAAATGAGCTCATGTATGGGACAAATTCTGGACCTTCTTTAGTAGCTACGTTTCCATCCACCTATTTAAATGCATACTTTGGAGATGTGCATAAATTAAAAAAATGCGCATAAAAAGCATAACTGATTAGGATAAACTTTTTATTCGATAAGAAAAGATGCACATAAACTACGATGGAAACACTTTTACCGAACAAACTCCAGAGTGCGCATTAAAAGGGTCATGTAATTTTGCTATAAGAGATCTTGTGGTGATAAAAATATATGCGAATAGATAAACCAGCAGGCTGAGCACACTGTAAACATCTGAAATGCTGTTTTGGTCATTCTAAAATGCCTTGATCATTTCAGTATTACTGTTATTATTATATTATTAATTGACCTCCAGAATAAAGAGCGTCTGTGCTCCACGTCTCACACCTTCAAATGCTACCACGCATTTACTGCATGTCAGATTGCCTTCTGAGGCACAAATCATTTATTAAACAAAGAAAAGACTCACGCAGCTTCTTCTACCGCAGCAAATTCTGCTTTTACTGTTGATATTTATCGCCAGTTAATCAGGAAGGGACGATTTTATTCGCTTTGACTCGTTGGAGGAAAATAAATCAGTGGATTAACTCGCATATATTAATTGTTCACCTGAAGAATGGCAAAGTGCGCTAGCAAAATAAACATGGCAAATTTTGATTTCAAGCAGACTTTAAATATTGGAAGTCTCCATTTAAAAAAGAAGACTGATTGCATGATGGCATAACATGAATAGTGCAGCATCCAAAGAAATATTGCACGCTCAAAGTTTAGTGTGGTCACCCCTTAAGGAGATAATACGTGAGTGGCTGGACGCAATGACATTAAGGACTCTAATCCTGAGCACTGATTTTATCCGCATGTGGGAAGAGTAAAGTGAGGCTTATCAAACACTACAGGAAGTAGATCGCTAGCTTCTCCCTCAGTTTAGCTAACTACAGAGGTAGAAGAGCAGGAATAACAGAGGGGAGTGGGGCAAAAGAATAAGGAACATCACAACCTACTTTTTGGTTCACTGATAGCCAAGATTGCAGTAGTGCTACAAAAACAAGTGCATTTCACAAGGATGTGAAGATCTGAATCTGGATTGACAAACAAATAGGAAGCTAATCATTTCTAAAGCAGGGTATACTCAGAAGGCATGGGCGCCCCCTAGAGGTGGAGGTGAAAGGCAAGCAAGTCGAGGAGCTTGCTTTAGTGGTCATATCAAAAAACTCAATTGAACAGAACGTCATATAACAGCTGTGACTGTTTATACTGTCCTGGCAGTGGTACAAATAGCCCTAATTTCATTGTTTACTTGCTGTCAAGTTTTTGTTTCAAAAGATTTTGGTAAGGCGTTTGTGTTTGAATGAGTTGTCTGTCTTTGGTGCTGTCCTAGAGTTTTTAGTGAGTGACAGACCTGACTACATGCTCTTTCTGTTCTACCACAGGAAGAAAAGTTAGTAACAAGACAAATGAAGTAAAAAAAGTTCTTCAGTAGGCAAAACAATTGGTTTTCAGAGCCAATGCGGGGCAATGGAAGATCCAAAATGGAGATTTATATATGTGAGAATGTAGGCAGGGGCAATTATCACCCCTTGATTTTGACAAAAACGTTATATATCCCTGCCGCCATTTTAGTTGCTAGCTGTATTCAAAGCTAAGCTATGTTTCAGCTCATAAACAAAGAACATGACGGTTTTCCCAGAAGTAGGAGGTCTTAGAGAGACAAAAAAGCGAAACACAGCAGCACCGTGCAGCATTGTGTGCCCGTGCGCCAGCGCTCAGACATGGTGCTGGTGTGAGTGTGTGGTCTTGTATAATAATAACAGTCTTAAGAGGAGAAAGCAGGTCACTGCGATGCTGGCGTTCCCTGTGTGGTGCTGTGGCGAGACCTGTTGCAGAACACCAACCATTAAAAGTGAGAAAGATTCAAGACTCAGAGCCTTCTCTCATGAATTGACACAGGTAAAGATGCCCCAGCATTTGGGACGAACGCTCTGAAACTGAAACAGGGCTCCCCAGGCTTGGCTACATGCCTCTGGACCGAGATGAGAGTTAGGAGTATGAGGGGTTTGTATGGATGGATGGAAGCAGGTCCTCAGGAGATGTGGGGTGCTGAGGAGGATGGGTGTCTCCAGAAGCACCAGCCCCGTTTGGTGTGCTGCTTGCGCAAGATCTCTTCCTCACGCTCTCGCTCTTTTTGGGAACGGAGGTAGCGGTCTTCCTCCTTCAGGAACCAGACAGGAGGCCAACGATACTTCTCAAAGTGTTTCTGATTTTCTGAAATAACAAATTACAGAAGTGAAGGGAAAATATTTTTTTAGCTTGGTATTTATTTTAAAAAGTATGCTCAAAATTAAGAATATACAATATAACTCTTTTAACTTTTACTTAGTTGACAAAAGAACAAAAATAATAATAATAATAATATATATATATATATATATATATATATATATATATATATATATATATATATATATATATATATATATATATATATATATATATATATATATATATATATATATATATATATATTTCCAGAGACTTCGGTGACATATTTAAAATATATTTTGCAAATATAAAGCCATTTTTATTTTAATGGATGTAACACAATCCAAAAAAAACATGGAGCAGAAGCAAAAAAAAAAGAAAACAGTTATAGAAAATCCAAATTGAACAGTTTTGAAACTGTCCACAGTAAGCAGGTGAGCTGGAAATGCACGAGCGCTTCATGTTTGGGTATAAAATGAGCATCAATGTTTTGCAAGTAAAGTCGAATCCTGGTTTCTCATTTTGCGCCAAAGTCAAGAGAGAATTGTCAAACAAATCAAACTTCCCAACGCAAAATCGTAAATTTTTTTCTTTGGTCTTTCACCAACTTTCAAACCAAAAGTTTTAGGGAATCCAGAGAAATCTGTCTTGTAAGGACAGAGCAGCAGTCTGCTGAAACATCAAGAAATGCAAGAGGAATCTTTGTTATTTAGTGAGAAATGTATACATCAGTTTTATATCCAGTTCAATTATTGAATGCTGCTGGTTCTCTGGGCCAGAGCTCATCATCTTATTTAACCGAGTCACTGCAAATGTTGTTCACAATTAAAGTTGTTTTGGGGAAAGAAAATTGAGATTGTGAACTCAATGTCCAAAGGGACAATTCGGACTGCAAACCAAATGTCTGTCAAAGTATGAAGTGCAGCAGAGCAAATGGCATAGTGACTGGCATAGAGTGCACCAGTACCATTGACGTTAAGGCAAATATCAGAATAGCACAAAGACTGACACTGCCATCATGTCATATGACGTCTTTCATGGTGAGTTTATGATTATTATATCAAGTCTCAATCTGCTCGAACAGCATGGTTTGGTGGACATAGTAAATGTGCTTCAGTAGACTCCTGCAGTCCAGATCTGTCTCTTATTGAGAGATGAAAAGAAGCAGGATATGTTGTCACTGATCTGAAGTCTGGCATTATGTCATTAACAAATAGTATGTCCAATTTCCAAACAAGTAAACATTGTAATTAAAAGGAAAGTGTCAAGTTATGACATTGTGTTAAACATCCTTCTGTTCCAACATTGTGGAATGTGCTGCAGCCAACAAAATAAGAATGTGTTTTTATTTCCAGAATATAAATTATTTGGTCAAAGAAAATATTGGAAATCTTTTCATTGTACTTTTGTTTATTAAATAAATTTAAAATAAATTAACAACTTAAATGATTGTCTTGATTTTATTACATTTTACAAATATGAAATATGAATAAATATCTAATAATTCTAATGTATGACCAACAATTCTAGTGAAATGGTATTAATCATTAACATATGCTTACTTGAGAAGTAAGATGTTATGCTAAATTATTTATTTCATTTATTAATTAACAATTTAGAAAGGTTTATTGGTACAGAAATGGTTTAAAATTTTCTAGAATTGCGTTTACTTTTCTTATCCCACTAGCAAAATGCGTTTTATTCATTCAGATATTATGCTCACCATGACTTTATCAAATACAGTAAAAACATTAATTTTGCTAAATATTATTGCAGTTCAAACTAACAGTTTATTCGAATATATATTAAGATGTCATTTAGTTATATGATAAATAAAAAAATAGGTTTTCAGCATCATTTCCTCACGTCATCAATACACTTTTATGTGTAATAATCTTTCATAAATCCTGAATTTGAATTTGCCGATTTCATGCTTAAGAAACATTTCTTATTGTTAGCATCTCCCGTTTGCACTACCAGTTAAATGTAACCCAATTCCAATTTTTTGCTAAAATGTGACACAGTTCGGATCTGTTCTACAACCGTATAAACACAAAAATTGCATGCATTTGGATATTCAGAGATCCGTTTCAAATAAATCAGATATAAATCGAATGTGACAATGTGACTACCATGTAAACAGACAGATCAAATTTATTCATCATTCAGCATTCCATTTTGTATGTCATTAAACTTGCGACATTGTGGTACTTCTCTGCGGTTAAATGACGTAGAAGGAAGAGCGTGTGTGGAGACGCCGACGCGGTAAACAACAAAAACAGAGAAAACTTTTAGGAGGAAAGTGGTCAGTCGCCACAATTTGCTCCCACTAGACCTGGGATCTCTCTCATACCCACAAAATCCTATGAATGGTGGAGGACACCATATATATAAACCATAGACGCAAGCTGCGATGATGGCCCTTTCCCTCCTCCTCCACCTCAAAATCATTTTAAGGTTGGGCGAACTTTTTCTTTGGTTGACAATTTCTTCCATCATGGCACAGATGCTAGAACCAGCCTTTACGTATGTGCTACGTCTAAAATGTATGGCAAGTTTAAATACATGAATCGGTTATGGGTCACAATTAAAAGAAGGTGTAACCGGACAGGCAAAAAAATCTGATACAAGCAACAAATTGAAATTGGTCATCAAGACCTGACAGTGTAAACAGGGCCTTTGTGATAACCATTGTGCATTTTTCCATGATGCTTCATAAGAACAGAATCTGTTTTAAATTATTTTACATAAATATCTTTACTGTCACTTCTGATTAATTCAATATTATTTAGCTGAACTTTACATTAGACATGATACAAATCAATCAATCAATCAATCAATCAATCAATCAATCAATCAATCAATCAACCAACCAACCAACCAATCAATCAATCAATCAATCAATCAATCAAAACATTTCTTGTCTCTTACCAGGAGACATAATCTTCATATCTTTAGGGAATTTGCGACAGACACTGTTGTAGTTGGTGCAGATGTGATGCAGGCACCAGGCAGAGAGCTGTTTGGCATTGTGGAACTACAGCAGACAGAAAGCGGAGTCAGCACAGCATGATTTCTCTCAATGAGGCTCATTTGAAAAGCAAAGTGTGTTCATCCTTTGAACTAGAATAAAGTAGGCTACAAATGAATGGTAATTCTCTAATGTGCTCCACTGCTTGTATTGCCACTTGATTACTCATTTCTAGTGTGCTTTGCATTCTATTAAAGGCTTTGTTTGCTTCATCTTTATAAACGTTACCTGAGCCATCTCCAGATAGGCCAGCACATGTCCATCAATGTCCAACCCTTTAACGGACAACTGCAACAGATCCTCAACGGCGTGTTGCTCTGTAGACCATGACAAAACACCACACAACAAGTGTTAATATATCAGCCATAGGCTTAATGTTTAACAATGTGCAAACAACTCCGAAATCGTCAACAGTGAAAAATGTCTCACCTTCACGACTGTGTTTTTAAATGCTAAGTCAACCCCAGAATGTAATTTCTTCCACCTTTTTCTTACATTTAAGTTGTTATAAAACAGTAAAACATTTGTTCATCTTCAAAACATGAATTAAGATATATAATAAATCCCTCACATGTTTTAATGCAAAATTAAATTTGTTCAGCAACTAAAGAGATCACATCTCTTCAGAAGACTTGGATTAAACAGATTATTCATATGGACATTGTCACTTTATCCCTTTATTAAATTATTTAACGTTTTAGGTGAGGATTTTTAATAGAGGGCCGATAAAAACATGAACAAATTGATTATGCTGATTAAATGAAGACTTTTAATTTTTGGGGTAAAGTAAGTTGAGTATTGTGTGTTTTTTTTTAGGTTACTGTTGCCAAATGAATACTTTTAAAATGGCACAGGTAAATCATGCCTGAACTGATATTGTAGAAACAGTTTCTGTTTCTGCGACGTCACAGCTGAAAACAGCATAATCTACTATAACTATGAACAACTCAGGCACTTTATTCAGTGTTTAATGTCACCATTGTGAGTTTGAATACAATTTTATGTGATAATTTTATTTATTGCCATACTGAAAGCAGCAGGAGATTGTTCACCTGAAATCTTGAAAAAGAAAAAAAGAAAAAAACAACATACACTACCGGTCGAGGGTTAGTTAGGGTCAGTACTTTTTTCTTTAAATAAAAATATTCTGTTCATCGTTGCAACATTTATTAAATGTAAAAAAAAGTTAAATTGTTAAATATTTATTTATTAAATATGTATTTATTACTTATTTTATGTGGTTTTAAATGAATTACTCCAGTCATTATTGCTTTTATTACTATTACCATTTACAATAATAATAATAATAATAATAATAATAATAATAATAATAATAATAATAATAATAATAATAATAATAATAATTAATATTAGAGTGATTTCTGAAAGATCGTGTGACTCTGAAGACTGGAGTATTGATGCTGAAAATTCATTTTTAAAATTACTGAAATAATTATTAAATTCTGAACTTCTTCTATTTTTGAATAGTTATTTTATAGTGCAATAACATTTCACAATTTAAATTTTTTACTGTATTTTTGATTAAATAAACTGAGCCTTGGTGAGCAGGATAAGATTATTTTAAAACATTTAAAAATCCTACTGACCACAAAACTTTTGACCAGTAGTTTATAGATTGAAAATGAACATTGTCCCTCTCACTCAGTGTAAACCAACAAATATCGGTCAATTATCAAATACATTCAATAATTTTAAAGATGTTTAATATTTATTAATTAGATTATACACTTTATACACCATTTGGATGGGAGTGCAGTGCACTATTCTGTGATTCTGCTATTTAAATGTTTCGTGTTGAATCTGATGTGGACAGACAAATTGCTTGTTGCATCTTATTGTGTAACATGTTGTTTGGACATAGTGTACTGGTTACTGATTTAAAATCTAGCTTTGTGAATTATCTTTCTTTCTTTCTTTCTTTCTTTCTTGTCCATTTGTCTATTACTCGTAGGCCTTGAAAAATCTAAATTGGTATCACATGAAATATTAACCAACTTTTTTCTGTTGGTTTTCTGCACTTTGTTTAAAATGATTTCCTCAGTAGGCCCATAAACCCAAGAATTAACCAAGCTGTGTTATTTAATATGTGCACAGTTTATCTTAGGGTAAACCTACAGCCATTACTAGACCTACCTGTTAGAGCTACTAAGCGGGGAAGACAGAGGCGGTTGGCTAGAATTATGAGGTCCATTGGCTCCAGCTCAGAAGACGGTGTCAATACACCACAGTAGAGAAACTCCAGAACAGCTCTCATGCAGGCACAACTGGTGTTGGGGATAGACACCTGAAAAGACAGAAACAGAAAGAGAAAAAGACAGTGTGGTCAGTGAAGGGCAGACTATTAAATATTTCACAGTTATTAACAAAAGCCCACGTTGAGAGAAGTTTGTGCGAAGAGATTTCATAACCCGTGCTGAGGAATGTTTATTCATAGCTCATCTCCAGGACATGGAAACTCGAGAGGCAGATTGATCCAGGGTTGAAACAATCTGCTCAGCACCTCTCCCCCATTGAGACCTGCATGGTCCTGGCCGCTGACCATTAGAGACTTACAGTATGAGTGGACATGGCAGGACCCGGAGCGGCCAAAGACGCAGTTAGAAAGGTGTGTATGTGTCCAGGAAGGCTTGTGGAGAACTTAGGTCTGGGCGAGCGATAGAAGGGAGAGGGCAGTGGCCTCCACAAGGGGTCTTTCATCCTTCAGGAGATTAAAGCACTGTGTGAAACCGTTGACAGTCTCAGCTTAAAGCTGTGGAAAAATAACTCTGTGGGCTTGTCGCTACGGTAAACCTGGCCTCTGCATAAACAAGAGCCAACAAACCAGCCTACAGGAGAGACTGTCATCATATAACTGTGAACACAGAATATGCTTTACAGGACAAATACACAACATTCTCAGTCTCAGTTCCCATATAATGATATGACAATTTTAATTGTTTGAAACAACCATATGGTGCACCAGTTTCTATCATAAATGCTGTATTCATTAATTATTGATGTCATGTTAGACAGCATACACAAAAGTTATTTTTAAAAAGGATTTGTTCAGTCAGGAATCATTTAATTTATCAAATGCAACAGTAAAGATGTTTATAATGTTGGAAAAGTATTTTATTTATTAATAATATCCAGGTTTTTTAAAGCAAATTCAGAGATTAAGGGCTCTATTTTAACGATCTTGGCGCAAAGTCCAAAGCGCAGGGCGTAAAAGCATTAAGGGCATGTCGGAATCCACTTTTGCTATTTTAAGGATGGAAAAATTTGCGCTGTGGTGCATGGTCTAACAGGGTTGAGCTTATTCTCTTAATCAGTTATAGGTGTGTTTTGAGAATAAACCAATCAGAGTCTCATCTCCCATTCCCTTTAAGAGTCAGTTGCATCGTGCCATAGCACATTTGCTATTTACATGGCGGACTTTGTAAGTTAAAAAACTGAGTGCTTCACCAGCGAGAAAACAGTTAAACAGACCATCTGCAGTGCAAGAATTAGTCTCCTCATTCTTTACTTTCACTATCTTCCGTGGAAACGTGTTGTACGCACAGACATCCATTGGCCTACATTCATTCATTCTATTTCTTGTCGGCTTAGTCCCTTTATTAATCCGCAGTCACCACAACGAAATTAACCGCCAACTTATCCACCAAAATTTTTACGCAGCGGATGCCCTTCCAGCCACAACCCATCTCTGGGATCTCATTTACACACACACTCTCATACACCTACTCAATTCACCTGTACTGTATGTCTTTGGACTGAGGGGGAAACTGGAGCACCCGCAGGAAACCCACGCAAACGCAGGGAGAACATGCAAACTCCACACAGAAACGCCAACTGAGCTGAGGCTCGAACCAGCAACCCAGCGACCTTCTTGCTGTGAGGCGACAGCACTACCTACTGTGCCACTACGTCACCCCTTAGCTTACATAATTAATTTCATTTGTTAAGCGCAAAGATTTGTTTCAAAACTATTTCTAAATTCAGCTCTAATCTCCAGCAAATAAATAAATGAACCATAATAATGAAGTGTTCTCAAAAAACTGAGTTATATCCAAATACACTATGCCCCATATGGTTTAAAACTTCACAGGTGGGCAAATCTAAGCTTGTTTTTAATAAGACAAATATAAATATGCATATAATAAATACTACTACTAATAATAATAACATTATACAAAAGCAAGTTGTCATGAATACACTGAACCTAGACCTCCTCTTAGCTGGTCTATTGAGAAGTCTATTTTAGATCCTCAAAATTGCAACGCGCCTGCAATGCACCTTAACCAACTCCTTTTTTCGACCAGAACAGCTATGCACGCATATATGAGCGCAAATGCATTTGCTATTTAAACAGCGTGGTGCAACACGTCAAAACAACTCTTACATCAAGCTGAAACTAGCAAACAACATTTGCGTCATGCCTTGCGCCGGCTAGACTTGTCTAGATTTGACTAGGTTAGACTTGTCAATTATTCGTAGCCCTTGAAAAATCTGAAATGGTATCACATCAAAAAGGGGTGTAGTGGACATTTTAAAAGTGGGGGAACAGCTGTATGACATCCAAAAGTTATGTTCATGTATTTATTATTCACCTGTTAATAATAATGTTTTACTATATTTTTTAAATCAAATGAATGCAAACATAGTGAACATTTATAACTCCAAATTAGAGTAAGTTGTGGGTCCACTTATCTTATTTGTTGTGAGCATTCATGACAACGCTGAAATCCTTGAAGGCCACATGACATAATATGCCCACGTTCAACACCATTCCTAACCTAAATCTCTTAATCCAATGCTAAAAGGTAGGAGAGCTTTGTTTTGACTCTGCTTTGGCTGAAGGGTGGATAGAGAGCAAACAAAGGCATGCTTATTCTTCTAGCTCCAAGGAACGGCCAAGGAATTAGGCTTTTAGCAAGGACACAAAGAGGAAAGTGCCGGGCCTGAGAATCAATCCATGGCAACCTTCTCCTTCAACTGCCACAATCCGCAGACTGAACAGTCGTTCCTCTGTGAATCAGGACAGGATGCAGTGGATTTAATTGCCGCTGGCATTACCTTGTTTGAGGAGTGAACACTTCTAGGTCACAGATGGTTGTAGCAACCTGGAAACCACTAGCACTGGTATCTTTATCTTGTGTAGAGGTTTGTCATTTACACTGATAATCATTTGCAATAAAAACGGTGCTCAACAAATAATACTGATCATTCACATTCCATACAGGAATGATTAGACATGCCCCAAAAAAACTCCAAAAAAAAACAAAAAAACAATAACAACTACCAAATGCAACAACAACGTGTGTACTGCTGCTGCCATGCGAGTAGGAGTATGTTAGAATGACAGCCACAGGCTGACACAGATTCTATAGGTCAGATAAGGTGCACTGGAGGGGTGGCAAGATGACACTCAGCAGTACTTCTGAAGCCTATGGGGTGCCTTTCACCTGTCTGTCTCAAAGCCAATTAACAGAATGTCAGTGTGTATATGACCGCTCATTATAGCGAAAGGGCAGACATTAAAGACACAGAGGGCACACATTACGCAACTTCCTGTAAAACAAACCCAAAGGAGTGCAATGGTGCTGAGAGTGAATGAGAATGTCTAAAAGACAAATTCAGAGGGTACAATATTACACTGACGTGAAAAAGGATTATTGGATGAAAACTTTACTCATAACAGTTTTTTCAATTATGTGGTGCTAATTAGAGATGTCCTGATCAAGATATTTGTGCCCCAATCTTAAATCAATACTATCCCGAGTCCAGAGGCGACATACTTCATATTATATATTCAGTTGAGGTCAGAATTATTAGTCCCCTGTATATTTTTTCCCCAAATTTCGGTTTAACGAAGTGAAGATTTTTTTCAACACATTTCTCAACATAATAGCTTTAATAACTCATTTCTAATAACTTAATTTAATCTTTTGAATCGATTTTTACTTGCTTTATTTTATCTTTGCCATGATGACATAATATTTTTCTGGATAGTTTACAAGACACTAGTATTATGCTTAAAATGCAATTTAAAGACTTAACTAGGTTAACTAGGCAGGTTAGGGTAATTAGACAAGTTATTAGACTATCAAAAAAATATATAGCATAAAGGGGCTAATAATTTTAACCTTAAAATGTTTTTTATTTATTTATTTATTTTTATTAAAAACTGCTTTAATTCAAGCCAAAATAAAACAAAGCAGACTTTCTCTGGAAGAAAAAATATAGGAAATACTGTGAAAATTTCCTTGCTCTGTTAATCATCATTCGGGAAACGGGAAACATTTACACACACACACACACACACACACACACACACACACACACACACACACACACACACACACACACACACACACACACACACACACACACACACACACACACACACACACACACACACACACACACACACACACACACACAGGGGCTAATAATTCTAACTTCAACTGTTTGTATACAGTATGTTTTTTAAATATACATTTTTGTTTTTTTTTTCTATGCCAAAAATCATTAAGATAATAAAGGTGCAGTAGGTGATTGTCTTCAGAAACATTTTTTCTTGTGCTGGTTAAAAGTCTCTCCACATTCCAATAGTAATTATTAAAGTAAAATATATAAATGTGTTTATATGTATTTTTATATTCTGGGTAAGGCATAAAACTAAAAACAATGTTCATTCAATAAATATTGTCGGACCGACAAATAACTAACGACAGATAACACAAACTGTCTGTCAACAAATTAAAATTTGAATTTCTGCGCAGCCTCTTTAAGCAGACAGATACATCACTCAATCTACAGCTCACAGAGAGCTGCATCAACCTGAACTTTATTCTGAAAGATCAACGTGGCCTTGTGTCCATGAAAAGAAAGATTTTTTTCTGAAAATACAGAATCAATACTTTTCTAAACCCTGAATTAATATCGGAGTTACTTTTGCACGCTAGAGGAAAAAAGACGTTATGCAGTTCAAAACAACGATATGAGGGGTGACACCACGGCTGAAGTATTTCTTTTAGATAGGTATGTTTTAAAACTATTTTAGCCACGCAAAGCTTATGTACATTGTGTTCTTGTTTATGAATGGGTTTATATGCACAGAGGTATTGTTCAGCAACTGAAAATGTCCGGCAGAAGATCATGGAGTACCTTTCACAGCATCGATAATATAGTCGGTTAAATAGACCTGAGCATTTGTTTAGTTGTTCAAGTGAAAAAGGAGATAAACATAAGCGATGTACAAGTATCAGCGAGCACAATTTAAAATGAAGTCACTTATTGTCT